AGGCCTGCATCGCCAAGTAGCCTCCTTTCTGCTGGCGTCACGTCGTGCCCTGGTGGGGGAAGCGCTGAGCTCTTCCCCCTGTTGACGATGATGCCCACTGCTTCTAGTTCGTCGACGAGGTCCGGTGTCACCGGAATATTTTCCGCTGTGATATTTTTGAAGTGCAGGCTGATGCCATCCATATAAGCTTTCAAGTTTACCCCGAGGTGGTCGTACTTGGCTCTAAGCTTCAAGACGATCGGGACTAGGATGAAGCAGAACAGGGGCGGTCCCATTCCATCTCCTTGCTGCACACCGCTCTTGCACTCGATCGTCCGACGCTCTCCGGAGTCCATCGTGTATATCGCCTTTGCCGGGATTTCGTCGTAACACCTGGCGATGTACCCCACGAGATCTGGGACGCTCTTTGCGGCCTGGGCCATTATGGCGGTGCGCTTGCCCGTGTTGAAGGCATTTGAGCAATCCGTCTGGACTACCCAATGACCTGTCTGATGAACCAGTTGTGCGTCCATCGCAACTTGTTCAACTCCTCCAGCTACCGCCACTCCGAATTGGTCCGCTTCCCGAAATATTTCTTCCAGTTTCGGTTTCCACTCCCTGACCGTTCCCGCTGCAATCAGCCTTCTCCAAGTCATTCCAATGCACACTGGACGGCACTTTTCACCGAGGGCGATTAGACTGGATTGTTTCCAAAGAGTCCAGAACTCCGGTGGGAACGCGTTGGGATCGTTGATGAGCCTCCTCCAAAGGGACGACATCGCGTTGCTGAACTCTTCCCGACCAATTTTAGTGTTGACGATGGACTTAAGGTGGGAGAAACGTTGCCCGTTATTTCCTGCTCCAGAGTTAGAGCTTCTGCTGTTGATGACGTGAAGGAGTACTTGTGGATCGAACTCGGTTTCTGGCCTCCATCTCGGGTCGCTTCCTTCCTCCTCCTCGGTGCGGCTTGCAGCTATGGCTTCGGCGATGGCCTGCTCCACTTGTACGGGATCCTCATGCGGAAATTTGGCTTTCAGACGTGCCCATGTCTCGTCGTTCCCCGGTGACGGTTGATCGGCTAGGAGCGCTCTTGCTGCGTCCTTCACGCCTCCAGAGTGCCGGCACGCCCTCGCCGCCCTTTTGAACTTGTCGTCGGGTGTGTCTTCCCGTGCCGGTCCCCTGCTCCTTGCACTCGCCGCCNGCGGCTGATCGGCTAGGAGTGTTCTTGCTGCGTCCTTCAGGCCTCCAGAGTGCCGGCATGCTTGCGCCGCCCTTTTGAACTTGTCGTCGAGTGTGTCTTCCCGTGCCGGTCCCTGCTCGTTGCACTCGCCGCCTTGGTATACTCAATCAGCCAAGGAAGAACGGACGATATATCCCCTCTTTTGAGCGAGTTGTAGCGTTTTTTTCGAGCTATCCGACCATCAAAGGAGTGCAGAATACCTGGTAGGAGGTACCAAAGTTTGATGACCCGGATAGTGGAAAGTGGGGTCCCGGTCGCCGAGGAAGCTCCGCCGCCTTCTGCTAGCTGCTTGTTAACAA